CACGACCACCCTTACTGCACATGTGCGTCCCCTCCCCCGTCTTCTACGCATCCTGCGGCACGGTGACAGTCGAAGCATGTAGCTGTCCGGTGTTCCACGACGCGAATGACAGTTTTTAGTACGCTTCTCAAGAGCAGTTGAAACAAAATCCAGGAAAACGCTCCCTAAAAGGGCCAGAGTAGGGGCTACTTGGTTGTACATGGTTGACACCCCCGCCGCGCTAGAATTGAACACTAAAATACACACTGTAGCACAGGTACAGTTCGCTCTCGTGTGTGTCCTACTTGTGCTACAGTGTCTTTTATTGTTCAATTCTAGCGCGTCGCGAGTGGCTCACTAAAAGCGCGCCCTTCGCACCACCTAGGCTTGCGGGCGATACTGAACACGCCGAAACGCCTCCGAAATCGCCGTACCGCCAGCGGCATAGAGTTTCGTACAGATATTGTAAGAAACCCCATGGAAAATGCTGCATACAAATTAACTGCTGGCTGTTAGTATGCCATGGAACGAGTGGCACGTGGCAGAGCTGCAGTGTCTGATGCAGCAGGCTGCGCAGCGAGGGACCACAGGTTCGAATTTTGGAAGCACACTTCGAATTTCTTTTTCCGTTACTATTTGGAGTTGTGGCTTTTATTTACATATGCATACACATATACATAGAGCATCATGACGGTGATTGCAGTGGCAAAAAAAACGTAAAGAGCGGTCATATAATCGTTATCGCAACAAAAACTCGCAGCCTTCCTTGTGCATTTACTTCAAAGATGACCCAAATGGCGAAAGCCATTTCTTATTTTTCTAAGTGGGTGTGGCCCATGATCCTCCTTCTATAAAACAAGGGTGGAATCCTTCAGGACCCCAATAATTTTTTCATCCATCCATCTCAGTCGATGTCTAGGGAGCAAGCAGCACAAGTGGCGTAACGCGCCACTGCTTGTTTGTTTGTTGCCTGTGAACACTTGCACGTACCTACTCTGGGGAAATGCCAAGCGCCACCTTCATTTTTTTCTCTAGAGGTCACGCCCTCTCCGGTTTTGTTCACAGCACAAAGGAGGGCACTAGAACGGCATCACGGGGCGTTACATAATTTTTATTGCATCAATCGTCCCCTATGCCATAGGATGGTCACCAACGACGATCTGGTTTCCCATTTTACAAGGCATCTAAGGCCACCTTTTATAAGTCACTTATATAATTATGCCTTAGTAATCGCAGTATTGCAGAGTGTAATGAAGTGCCGCACTGGCACAGGCGTGCGCTTGGCTTGGGCAAAGGCAAGTGTGGCACAATAAGACAGTCGACAATGCTCATGGTGTAGCACTAGACAATTTGAAGTCATATGGTGTGAACGAGTTATCTTTTTTCCTAGCTTTATATCTCAAGAACGTTTCCATATCTTAATGTGGAATCTTTAAACTCAATGAAGAAGGCATTTTATAACTTTGTGCAATTACAAACCTGTAGCTTGCGACTCCAAAAATGCAAGTTCTTTCCAATATTACATACCTTTTGGTTTTTAATTGCTTTCACAAGTGTAGCTCCTCTACTTTCATGACAAAAAAGTCAAGGTAGTAGTTAGTAGGCTAATATTGCTTTGAAAAAAAAAAAACACAAGGTGGCTGTAAAAACTAAACAAAGCTCATTGTCTAGAGTCCCCTGGGAATTGTCCCCTGGCTGCTTGCCATTGCGTTTCGAGATCAGTTCACCAAAGCCAAATGCACAAAATAACCATAATTCCCAAGCTCTCATAATAGAAGAAATCATTTCAAAAAGCACATAATTGCCCCACAGACGAGCTTCCATCTCTACGTTTAAAATGCATTTCTCTCGACATGCAATTTTCGACAACTTCTAGAGTTTTGGCGTCAGGTTTTTGGTACTTGAAGGCCAGATCAAGATAACACCTTTTGCCACATATTTCTCAACATGTGAAGAGAGCAATTATCTCATTTATAGCATGATATCCTTTATAAAATCATGAACTTAAAGTAAGCAATTAGTATGGGCTGAGCATTGAGCATGTCTCACATTACATTTGTTCTTGTTTATTAGATGTGTTATGCACACTTTCTTAATAGTTACTTGCAATCTGTAATTTCTGTGGCAGTGATATGAGCTATTAATGACTCATAATACTTCTGTGGCACGAAAACGTCTGTCCAAAAAGAGTTACATTTTGCACTGTCATAGTACAGAAAGAAAACTATGCAACTCACTATAAAACTGAGTGCAAATTTTAAAATCAACATAAATTGAAACTGATAAAAGTTTTCTTGCCTCAGCCTACAGATTAAAACTTTATTTTTTTTAAATCGGACCTTTGCTGATTAAGCATCAGCTTCTACGAGGTCTTGAGTAGTAACGAGATGTTTACCTTATATGTCAAGGGTCTCAAACACTTGTCTCACAGGCCGCATGAAAGACTGGGGTCGTCTTTCCTTGTGGCCCGCGACTTCCCCCAAAATTAAATATTGTGTTAAACGGTACCTGTGTTATTTACTCACCCATGCTGATTATTAACTCTTTGATCGCTTAAGTTACAAAGACAACACTGGGCTCAAGCATTTTTTTTTTTCTGAACCACCCTTCAGGTTCATTATGCGATGAAGCAGAACTCTCATCCAAAATCACAATTTGCGCCCGCATTTGAGCAATTCTGGAGATGAGTGTGATTACGTATCTCAAATCCCGATGCCATTGATGTACTGCAAAAATGTTCCATATATGAAATATAGGAAGTGTGTTCTTTAAAGTGGCAGTGTTAGGTGATATTTTTTTATTCAATCTTCTAACACCACACCTTCCCCCGTTTAAACCTTGTTCGCTGCTTTGGCCCTTTCGGGAAAAAAGTTTGTGAGTGTCGCCTGTTGAGTCGAGTTTATTAATAATGCTATCTGGACATTTACGTCTCAACACCATCAAATGATTATGAGACGCCATAGTGGAGGGCTCTGTAAATTTTAGCTATCTAGAGTTCTTTAACACGCACTGACATCTACAGGCACATAGCCAGAAATTTATTTCGGGGAAGGGGAGGCACTTGTTGCAAGCCTTGAAAAACACCAATTTTTATTATTTTACATCGTTAAAAGACCCTAGGTATTCGATCCGAACTTTGAGGACCCACCCCCTAGCTACTTGACTAGACATTGCCCAGTACACGGTCGGTCCTCTAACATTTCGCCTCCATTGAAATTTAACCGCCACTGCCAGGATCAAACCCCCGACCTTCGCATCAGCAGCCGAGCACGCTATATTCCGCCGAGGCGGGCAGTCGTTGGCATTGTTCGCAAAGTTTAGGTGCACATGCTGCCTTGAATGACCTTTGCTCTGATGGAAAGAATCAGCTTTAAGACGAGGCTTACTTATAATCTACCCCATCGTCACGTGCTGCTCACTCATTTTTGTTTATTCTCTTTCGTGCACCTGCAATTATAGCTGCCCTCTACTCGTACAAAAAACAACCATCTATTCCCCACTCCATGTTGTTGAGAACTCTGGTAAGCGTCTCTTTGAGATCTTGCCACGTACTCAGTGCAAAGCATGGTAGGATCTTATTGCACTGTCACATTACATGAAGCACCACATCAGTGACGAGGCTGTGTATAATTGAGTATAACTGTAATTGCACTAATGCTTTTACCCCATTTTCTGGATTACAGCTAAGCAATAAGCACTTCCGAAATACCATCAAAAAATATACCCTTATATAGCTTGGTGATTTAACAGTGCTATGTCTTCATTGTCACTCATGAGCACAAACAAATAGGTTTTGACTGGCCTAATATTCTACAAAATTTTCTAATCATAAATGAAGAAAAGTGTGACTAAGCACCGGAAAGTAACGATACATTGTCGCTGGACTTTCCTACATGCATGCAACGTTTTAGGATCACAAATGAGTGTGGTCACTACAAAAGCGGCAGCTTGGTAATGTCCTACCTAACTACAAGTTCCACCGTACCACAATTGCACTTTTAACTAGACATAGTCATCATCATCATCATTTATTGAACTCTTAAAGGCCCCTTGCGGGGTATTACATAAGGGGGAGGCAAAAACACAATTCAACAGATGCATGATTGTCGACGGTACAAAGCATAATCGAAAGTGAACTACATGATAAAAAACAATGTCAAAAGAAGGAAAAATATATATATACGTGGAAGAAAACGGCACTATTGTAAATTGTCTAACATATCAAGTGATTTGTGATTAGCTGTTTAAATTTTATGGGGTTTTGTTCCTGCACTATGGATTCAGGCAGGTTATTCCAGTTTTCAATGGCAGTAGGTAAAAATGATTTATTGAAAGCGTTAGTTGAACCATGTAAGTGCTGTAAACATAGGGAGTTAAAGAGGCAACGCGATGAACGGGCGGGAGGTAGAAGAACGGTATTGCGTTGCGACGGGAAATTATGGTATAGTTTGTGTAGAAGGCAGAGCCGAGTCACCTTGCGGCGAATTTCTAGAGGAGGGAGGTTGAGGGATAGTTTGATACTGGTAATACTTAAGCGAGAACTGTATTGTGAGGTGATGAATCTGGCAGTGCCATTTTGAATTGCTTCTAATGCGTCGGTTAGGTAATTTTGGTGAGGGTTCCAAATAGCAGAAGCATATTCAAGTTTAGTACGCGTGAAGGTTTCGTAAGCTAATTTTTGGATTTGCGGTAAGCAGGACGTAGGCGATCTTTCAATGTAGCCAAGTGATTTTGCTGAAGCGGAGACTAGTTGTTCTATGTGCTCGGACCATGTTAGTTTACTTGTTATTATGTTAGTGCATGGTATAACACACTATACAGTAGAGATTAAAATGATTTGTGCAACAAAGCATTTCTACAACAATGCTTACTGCTCATGAAAATTCTTCACTGTAACAATAATCATTGGCAATAATAAATAACCAAATCAGAGCCACCACACAGCTAGCTTGCATTGGAATGTATTAAATTTAATAAAATGCTAGCAAACACCGAAATACCAGGATTGCACGACATTCAGAACACACAGTATATTATTTGGTGTGACTAAACAGATTATAAGAAGTGTTAATTTCACAAATAGCTAAATGCTAATTTGGTGAAAAGTACTTGTACACAAGAGTACAATCAGAAAGCTAAAAATTAATAACTGACAGCAGAAAAAAAAAAGCTCTGACTAACATTTACATGTACAGGACACAGAAGCGTCAAAGAAATGAACATGAAATTAAATGACTACATGTTACCATTACCAACTGAAACTACAGAAGGCACCATCACACAGCTGTAGCACAAGTAAAGGTAGTGTAAGTAATGAGAAGCGATATTCCTGTGGCCTTTCGGCAAAATAACGAGTATATAATATTTGACTTGAAATCAAAGATGGTGAAACGAGGGACACCACTAAGAAATGTCCGTAGCTTCAGAGCAAGCCAGACACTCACCTGCTGAAGAGAGTGCATAGGTCTCAGATTGCAGGGCCAGTATTTAATCTTAATACTGTAATATGTATACTAAAAATGAATGGAGAGTTTTATTTGTAGAATTTCTACCCAGTCAGAAAGACCTCTGCATAATATATTTACGTTTAAAACATTCTCCCCTTATTTTACGGCATATGTATAGATGTATTAATGAGAATAAAGCCTACTGTCAATGCTAATAGTGGTGCTATAACTGTGCCACATAAATTAGCAATTCTATAGTGCTGCGAAAAAAATAAAAACTCTTTTCAAGAAGACAAAGCTCGTACAGGAGAAATTGCATTGAAATGGCATTTGTGGTGACGCATGTGTGCACCTTCGACCTGATCTAAACTTAAACCTCTTAAACCGCACGCTGACCCATGCCGCGATAGTGCGGCAACCATAAGCGCACGCAGACGACCCCGGCTCGAAAGGCGATGTTCGCTCCTCAGGAAGAGGAGACTAGCACATCCTTCCCGGTATATATATATAAATATAGGTACATACATATACGTGAATGATGGCGGCACAAGTGACAGCAAAAACCAGCCAATATTATTGCAATAATAAATGATAAATCTCATATAAATACCATTGAAATGATCAGTGGCGTTCATGCTGATGCATGTGCCGCTTCCGTTCTGTTTTAGACTTAAACCTCTGGGGGCATGAAGGGCACTTATACTTTCTCTCTCCTGTGTGGGTGCACAGGTGGTCGTTCAGTGTGGCCAGTTGTGAGAAGTCCCAGGGACACAGGTGGCACTTATACGGTCGCTCTCCTGTGTGAGTGCGCAGGTGCTGCTTCAGTGTGGATCGAGTTGAGAAGCCTTGGGGACACAGGTGGCACTTATGCGGTCGTTCTCCTGTATGAGTGCGCAGGTGATCTTTCAATGTGCTCTTTCTTGAGAAGCCTTCCGGACACAAGTGGCAGTTAAACGGCCGCTCGCCTGTGTGAAACCTCGTGTGGCGTATCAGCTCAGACTGCCTACTAGTCTTATAGTCGCACAAGTCACAATGGTGATGGCATTTCCGACGTAGTTTGTCCGGATCAGTGGCTGCAGGAGAGATCAAAGAGCCCGAAGCTGCACATAGAAAAAAATCAAGGCAGGTTACTCAAGCGTTGCTTTTCATTTGAAAAGAAAATAAAGTTTAATTTTAGGGTGTTCCAAGACTGTCATGTCACAATAGCGACATCTATGTTAATTTTCAGCCGGCTAGGGTTTTTGAAATTTTAGCGTTAAGCCAAGTTCACAGGTGTTTTATTATATTGTCCCTATGCAAATTCTGCCACTGTAGCTCTATCATGAACAGTTGGAGAAATGAAATGAGAGTTAAGTTGACTAACAGAAGGTCTGATGAAGAAAAGCGTCAAGACTGGGCTTCTGCGAAGAATGATTTGGGTTGAATAATTTCGAATCGAATTCGAATAGTATGTATGACATATTAAAAAAAAGGGCATAATGTTTCATGACACAGCTAACCGGCACAATATATTTTTTATAAATTGAAAAAGGCCTGTGCAAATACATTTTTGTTTGTTTGTGGGAAACAGAAACAAATTTGTCTAATAGCAGCATTACACTTTTGGTAGAACGTAACTAATGACCTGTAAAATATGTTACATTTTAAAATTCATTATGCTTAGAACATATAAACCGGTATAACAAGCTTTTAAATAAAAAAAATGATGTGTGGGTAACATGTTCATTCATGCTTGTAGTTGGGTTCTAGCCGTGAAAACATCAAATAGATGTTTTCACGGCTTAGCAAACATTATTGCAGTGAAGCAACTTTTACAGGGGGTCACTTGCGGACTTTCATGCACCTTATTCGTTCATAAGGTTTTCAGTAACTAAATTTCGAATCGAAGCGAATTTGAATACAGCAACATTCATTCAAATATTCGCACAAGCCTATTAAAGATGACCACATTTATATGCAAGCGTGAGTGATACTGTTATGGTTAATAGGCAAATGTATTACGCTCAATCTCCTCGCTGCAATATCGTAATATACCTTGACATCCTTCAGTCCATGTACTGTGTAACCCTGCACGTAAATGTGCAGGTTGTATGAGGTGAAATATAAGCATTCTCACATGAAAGCATAGTGAAAACTATGCTACAACAATATAAATTAGGACAACTAAGAAAGAACAAGAGATAATCTCTTCAGCGCTAAAGTTGAAAGCTGAGGACGACGCCAGCACAGCCAAATCCCTTTGAAAGGGAGACTGATGTAAGAGACAAATGGCTATGAGAGACACCAGCCTGCCTACGCTGTCATAGGGAGTTAATAAAAAAATGCACACGTGATGCCCCGCTCAAGAGACACACCTCGTATAAAAGACAAGAATCGTCACTAGCGCACATCTATTATAAAGGAGTTAAACTGCATTAAAAAAATGACCACGTAAAAAAAACTAAAAACAGAATTTTGAAAATTTGTAGCATAATCACAGACCAATTTTAAATGATTATTATCAATGAAAGCATATAAAAAACATTGTATAACAATAACAATTGATTAAGCATATATGATGTCAGTCAACTTCTAATGACACTCGGTATAATGAAATATCTTATATACCTTATGATGAATGCAAAATAATCACAAAGCATAGCAACATATTTAGTGACATGAAACATACTTGTAGAACTATTTATGCCACAAAATTCTAAATGCTTATTTGGTGCAAAGTGCCTCTGCACAAGAAAACAACTAAAAAGCTATATGATAATAAGAAATTAAAAATTAGCTGCAAGAAAGTGTGGTTGTACAGAAACTAGAACTAATAGAAGCGTGAGCATAAAAAATAAAAGCTTACATTTTATCACTTGGCGAGCATCAAAATAACAACCACCAGCCAAAAATATCGAGATAACAAAGAGATGGACACAAAAAGTACCTCTTAACAAATAAACGGGTAAATATTGACAAGATAGTAAAGCTGAATGTAAGAGTGAAAATTGCAAGATTGCAGCGGAACATTGTGTGAAGGTACCTCGAAGTTAAAAAACGAGAACTTATGAAGAATTGCTTTTCTAACAAAAAGACAAGGCCTTATTACATACAGCAATCCATCAAAGTCACATACAATATATTAGAGGGTTGCTGGTGCTATCTAATGAAGGAATCGTTTCTGTACCAATTAAGGAGTTTGGCTACTTGCACATAAAAACAGACTATCATCATTCAGTTACTGTGATAACTAGCTTTCACAAACCTGGCAGCATGAATTAGAATAATGGAAGTGGGAAAATGCATAGCATTATCTCGAGGTAGCCAAGACTGGACAGTGTGCATGAAGTACACATGAAACCAACAACAATCTTCATTTGTGCATTTGAATGGTCGCTCAGTCGAATGAATCCTGAAGTGTCACTTAATACTGATGGCATTGTGACTCTTGTAGCTGCAGATGATGCTACGGTAATAGCGTCCCCGACGTAGCTTTTCGGCATTCAAGGTCTCCAGATGGCGAAAAGATCCAGAAGCTGCACATAGAAGAAGTTGCAAGACAGGTTACTCAAATATTGCTTTTCATTCTAAGAGAAAATGAATTTAGCTTGAAGTGTTTTAGTGCACAGCACTGAAATACTATTGTGAATTGCGCAGTAGTGTAGAAATTTCGATTACTTTGGTGCAACGTAGGATTTTTTTAATGCATACATAAACACTAGTACGTGAGTGCTTTTGTATTTCGCCCTAATTGGAGTGTAGCCACTGCATCTATTGATAATAATATGTCAAAACTATTAAAAATAAGTAACACGGAAATACAAGTTCTGTCAGTGTCATGTAAATGCCTTCATGGCATATGCAGGAAGAAAGCCCAGAGGTCAACACTTCCCATTTCCTTGCAAAACCCTTATATATGTTATTGTTAGATGGCCAAATTCGTGATACACAATACTACTAACATAACCAAAATAATTTCCCGTCCTGTAGAGTTGCCTCGTCTTAATAATCTTAAACATTACCTATGAGGATGCCATAGCTACAAAGCACAATAAACATGAATGCATGCTATTCTGAATAGGAGTATGTAGAACAAGGTATGCACATATGCCCTCAACGATAAGGTTCCAAGAATAAAGGGATGCATACTTTGAAGGGCTCAACATAATAAGAAATACATTTCAATCAAAACAACTGCAATCAAGGACAACTCTACAGAAATATTTTCTGTTATGCACAAGTGCTAATCCTAACTAATGCCTGCAATACTTCAACACTCAAGAACAATCAGCTCCACGCTCTTGAAAACCTAAACAACAAAAATTAAAACCATGTTGCAGACAGTGACTGTGCTAGACACCAGAGATCACAAATACATGAGAATCACACACACACAAAAAAGAAATCAAATTGTGTGGAAGAAAAGTAGTATCGGCTGCACTGCTCCGACATGATAAAATATGACCATAAATAAATAGCAAGATGAAATATTCAAAGAAAGTTAAAGGCAAGAGTTCATGATGTGACGTAATAAATTCAAGTGGCCACGGGGTCTTTTATATTTGGCGACATGAACCTAGGGAGAGAAAGAGAAATAAGATATTAGCAACAGGTGAGCAATATAAGAAAGAAAGCAGGCCTTGCTACCACACAATATGCATTGAAGGAGTGAATTTCAATTCTAAGCTACACATGTTATTAATACTAGTTCATGATTTTCTAGTGGCTGTTTGTTTTTAGTCTATTTACTATATAGTATCAATAGAATAAAAACTTTTTTGTCAACTGTGCGCAAATATTTCATCTTTTAAGAGTGCTATTTTCTGAAATCAGACCTACATGCTAAGCTACACAACTATGCATTGAATTTAAAGCATACTTTGCATGGCTACACCGCAAGATGATGCTGTCGTAGTTTTCATGTATCATACTCATGGAATGAAACACAACACCACAACTTCAAGCATAACAACTGACAGCAACAACTGACGTCACGCCGCTATGAAACTGGCTATTAAGTATGATGCTGGTCTGATATAAATATCCAATTCAAGTTTATGCAGATGTGGCAAAAAGTGAACAAAAGGGAAGAGAAAGCACAAGCATTATGAAGGGTCCGTAAACAACCATGGTGACATTTATGATGTCTGCATAAAAATTGTGAAAACTGTGAACTTGCATGATGTGAACGAGTTGCCGAAAAAATGTTTACAAATAAGTAGTGCAACGATGAAGCTGCAGGGGATAAAATAACCACATTGGCTAGATTCAATTTTTCGCTTGCCCCCCCCCCCCCCCTTTCTGTCGCATAAAGAAGTAGGTGCAGCCCACTTTCATGACTATGCCCACACTGGCAAAATAATGCAACATCAGTGACTTCATCATAGGCATGGAGCCAAAGCCTAAGGACTGCTATGGACTAGAGTCAGCGATAAATGGTACGTTCTCTCACAGTTGCAATCACATTCAGAGGCACAAGACTTCTCAAAGCGATAGTCCTCGAAAGGGTATTTCAAGCTGTCAAAAGGTGCTTATGCATTTCAGAGTGCGCCTAAGTCGCATAAGTTACGAAATCATGCAACATAAATGTATCGTTGCTAAGAAAATTGCTGTGTATTTTGCTGGAACACAACCATGCAAATCTGACAATTCTGCAATGAAACGCACTGAAGTGGTCTCTGCATGGGTGGTACAGACGTCTAAATTTAACTTGAAGGATTTATTTTTTGTGAGTTTAGACAATGTCATGAGTGCAACAGTAAGGCATAAGGTTGTTCGACCCAGCTGCTCAGTTTTGTGGCGCAGCCACACACCCAACGCCTACTAACTGCAGAATAATGGCCCCGGTGCCTGCATTAATAATGAAGTATCGGCATGCATCTGCCGACAGCTCGTTACTAATGCAGAGGATCACCCCCGCAATCGAAAATGGCTGGTGGCCTTCGACTTGTTATGGAGCACAAATGGAACTTCTATTGATGGAAGGAAGCTGAAACCAAAACAACACAATTCATTCCAACACCCTAA